TCCAGGATGAAGCATAAGGCATGCAGTCACTCTCAAGTGCAGCAAGTTACCTATGAAGAGTCAAGGCTTATCTCAGGCACCAGCTTCCTCCTTTCCCTCTCTTTAATCTTCTAGAGAAGTTGAGAACATAAGAGGAGAGATGATTCTCCCCAAGTGAACATATGTCAGCATCATACTCTTTAACATTACAGGTGACCCTATGAGGAACTGCCATACTATAGTAGGCTTAACCTTTCCCAGATGGCTGCATCTTTGACATACAAACAAAGCAAACTAGGTCAGTTTCACAGACATATGACCAGTGCAGTCCACTCTATGCTCACAAGAGGACTTGGGCTTTGGGTATGCTCTGCAATGGCCATACTGAAATTCTTTGAGTTTGAGTTTCGTATTTAAAAGTCAATAGCACACTACAGTACTCTCTGGAGAGTGGACATGTCAGCTCACAACCGATCTTGACTTTCACCGCACCCTCACCTCTCCAGGACAGGCTGTTGCCACCCATTCCCCCATCACCTGGCATCCCAGGCTCCCATCCCATGAGCCCTGCCCACTATGATCCCTGCAGGGGCCTGGGCATGAGTGCAGAGAGGATAGGGGTTGGCCATATGCATGTCCTACAGTGACCATGGTATGGCAGTGTCTGTCCCCATTCGATGCTAGTAGCACTATGGCATGTTTGGTGGGTGATCAGCCCAATTCTGAGACACTGAGGCACATCCACTGAGGAAGTTGCAATACACCTGGGGGCTGCCCATCTACTGGGGGCAGGAGCAGTTGGCCTAGGAAGGGGAGGCACCTGGCTCAACTTCCAGAGGACCTGTGCCAGGCTGGAGTGCAATCCCTGGGTGCAGCAGCAGGCAGAAGAGGGGACCTGGCTAGCATCATGCCTGAGCACATATGTCTGAGCCCAAGGCTCCACGTGCCTGTGAAACCAAAGCCTTGGGGGAACCTTTTCTTCCTCATTCCACCATTTCCAACTCTGACTGGTTGGCCCCTCTGGGCATTTTAGGGCTCCCTCCAGGAATTAAATTGCTCTGATATTTGCATGTAAAGCTGGCATTTCACAACATAAAAAAGAAGAGTTCATGTCATGCTAATAATTAAACTTTTAAATTTTCTTTACTGAGAACAACATGGAATAGGAAATTTAAAACACCATGACAAGTTAAGAGAAGCAAGTCGCAGAAGAAAGGAAAACGTTTTATATCTTAGTTCCTTTAACAAACACTTTTTTTCTTGCTAAGAGGCCCCACATTTTTATTTTGCACTAGGCCCTGAAAATTAAGTAGTCAGTCCTGAAGTAAATTATCCAGCTAACCAACAAAAATTCTAAAAATAGAAACAAAGCCAAAAGATAGAAGCCATTCTCACTGGGAACCCAGCTAAACCATCAATGAACTGTGATAAGCCAACTTTTTCAAGACGTCTGAGTTCTTCCCTAATTCAGTAGCTGTCTCCTAGGAGTGTTGTGGGGATTAAAAGAGGTAGTCCTTGTAAAACACCCGGAAGAATGGCTGCTCCTTACTTATCTTCTGGGTAGTGCTAGCTGCTGGATTACCATCATTCGCATTACCCCAACACGCTTTGCATCTTGATTGCACCTTGCAGGGCCAGTCCTCCCCTACTGGGCACACGAGGGGTTGACATTCAGGAAGGTGGTGTGATGCACCCAAGCTACCCATCTATGAAGCAACAGAGTCTGGGTGCAGGGCAGATCTGCCCAGCCCCAGAGCCCACCTCCCTGTTCCATACCTCACAGGCACATAGCTCCTCTTCACTCTGCTAACAGCACGTATGTATAATATTTGTGATCCTGAAAGAGCTCTGTGCTGAATGCTGGACAAAGCATACTGGAGCCAGATACTGACATTTCAGGAGAGGTGCTAACATGCACTGTTTCTTTTCATGAATGAAGGGCCACATTCAGTAGTGAAATGATAGGATTTTCATACCATCTTCCTTTCTGTATGACATTCTAAGCAATTCCAGGTCAGAGAAATGTTGTATTCCTCAGGTACCGCTGCTCTGCATTCCCAACCCTATGCCTCAGTCCTGAGTCCCTTGTGTTTTCCGGCATGGTTGACAATCACTGTGTGCAGGTGGGGCAGAAGCAGCCTGCAGACCTGGAGGTGCGAGGTGTGCACATCTACAAACCGCTTTTCTGTCTTTTTGCTGCAGGAATGAGCAGTCGAGGAAAGTGGGGACAACTGGAGCACAGACTATGAGACTACAGCTTCCTCTGCAGGCCAACGCCAGCAGGTCACTGCCTACACCATGAGTGCATAGGCTGGGCTCTCCTGAGGCAAGGCCTGACAGCTTTCGTACTTAAAAGTCCACATACCTGGCTGGCATCCAGGCTGGAGGCCAGGCAAGCTTCTCCCATCCTTAAACATGGCCTGAAATAGTGCAAGAGAAGACAGAAACAGGCATCTGCTCCAGAGATTGCTTTATGGGTGGGCTCACTTGCAGGAGTTGGAAGGGTGGGGTGACCATGTAGGAAAGGGATCTTCCTAAGACTTCCTGTAGCCCAACCTTTATAAATAGACTAATAAACACCGCATGCAGTGTCATTAGTTGCCTACAGACTGATTGTTCCACATTCTTTTATTTTATTTATTTATTTTTAAGACAGAGTCTTGCTCTGTCACGCAGGCTGGAGTGCAGTGGTGTGATCTTGGCTCACTGCAACTGACGCCTCCCGGGTTCAAGGATTCTCCTGCCTCAGCCTCCTTAGGAGTACAGGCCTGTGCCACCACGCCAGGCTCATTTTTGTATTTTTTTGTAGAGATAGGGGTTTCATGTTGGCCAGGCTGGTCTCGAACTCCTGACCTCAAATGATCCATCTGCCTTGGCCTCCCAAAGTGCAGGAATTATAGGCATGAGCCACTGCACCCGGCCCATCTTCCTTCTAATTATAAAAAGAAAACAAAAACAAAAACAAAAGGCAAGCAGCCGGGAACAGGGGAGCTTGGGGTTTTATAAGGAAAGTGTGTTGCTGTCTTTTCAGATCTTAAAAAAGCTTAATCCCTGCAATTTAGATAAATCAGATAGGCATTACCAGGTTAGGGTTAAAGCTCCCAGAATGGCTTTGCAATTGATTACAAACACAGCACTTATTAAGTCTTAACTGAGTAATTTGCAGCTTATTTCACCCCCAGCTAATTAAAATGTAATCAGGATTGTCTGGCAATGTGCATTCTGTCAGCAGTTTTTCTTCCAAAGAGAAATCATGCCAAGGAGACCACAAGAAAAGCCTTTCACGGGAACTGGCTTCATCTAAGCTGCTGCTTTAGCCACTGAAACTGTAAAACAAATAAATGACAGCACTGACAATTCAATAATTTTAAAAAAAAGGTACTCTTTCTCCCTGGGAATAGGCTGCTCTGTTTTGTTTTGTTTTCGGTTGTTTCAAACAATAGTGTGGCATCTTCTCAGGAGAGTGACTTTCAGGGTAGGACTCGGAGGGTTGGAAACCAGGTGCCTGGAGACCAGCTCTCTCCTGGCTCTGTCCAGGAGGTCTGGGTAATTTCACCACAGGAGGTGAGCACTGGGTTTTCCATTCCCTGAACACTCAGGAGGACCGCAGAGCGTTTCCATTTGTCTGACACCCACAAGATGCTGCTTCTATGACTTAGAACAAACACAACTGCACACTCGCGAAGGCGCCAGCGTCACCAGCTGGTTCAAGATCATCCCCGAGGGCTAAAGGGAATCACTTCCACACTCCACCCTTATTAATATGGCCTCCTCTGGCAGCTTAATTCCCAGGGCCCCTCGGGGGAACCCTCTTGACCCAGCCGCGGCAGGAGGGGCGCCCAGTTTAAGAGCCAAGTGATAGGCTCCCAGTTCCCGCCCAGCCAAGGATTCCCCCCTCCTCCCAGCCCCCTCCTTTCCTTTTGGTCCCCCCAGAGTTTCCCTGAGAGGCGAAGTTGGGAACTTGGAACAGGTGGGCACCTAGTGATAGAGGCGAGAAGGGTGAGAGAGAAAAATAAGTGAAGGATTTCAGAGCTCGTGCGCTCGTCTGGGCTGGTAGAGGCAGCAGCTACACCCGCGCCCGCTGAGCCCGGAACCTGCTCTGCTGCGCCTACCCGCACCCGGAGCCTCCAGCGGGGGTCTGCGCCACCGGGCCGAGTCCCGGCGACCAGCTGGAGCCAAGCGCCGGGTTCCCGGAGCCTCCCACACACGCGCGCGTACACACACACTACCGTATCGTCAGGCTGAAAGAACCTACGTACGGGGTTTGGGGGACAGTGCACTAGGGACTCGTCCCCGGAGTATCCAAACACGGCCCCGCCAAATCCTCCGTCCCCAGCACTTCTTCCCTGACGCTCTACGCTAACCCAGAACAAGACCTTGAATCTTTGGGGTTCCGAATTGAGGCGCGCACAGCCACCCACACCCCCAACACGCACATACAGGCACCCTGGAAGACGCCTTGGCGCAAGTGCCCTGGCTGGGGCGCCAAGGGTGGGCAGCGAGCTCTGGGCCCGCGGAGGGTGAAAATCCTCGCTCAAAAGAGACAAGTGTCGGCCCGCAGGCACCTGCGGGGCTGGGGCTCGAGGCGAGGTCCCTGGGCGCAGCCAGGCGCGCCTCCTGGACTCCCTCCCAGTGACCCGGAGCGCCTGGAACTTTGCGGGAGTCGTCACCCGCCCGGAGTCTCGCACAGTCAATTCCCGGGAAACCGCCACATTCGGGAACACCCCCTCGGCATCCAAGACTCTCCCTCCCCAGGGAACTCGCCTTTGGTTTCTTGCTGGGAAGGAGGGAGTTGGAGAGAGATGCCTCGGGATTCTTTTTCGTTTCGGGGGCGGGGAAGAGGCTGGAAAGAGAGTTCAAGCACCCTGACTGTAAGATCCACGCCTAGGGGAAGCCGAGATCAGCCTGCGGCGCTGGCCGAGAACTTTGCGCGCCCAGGATCTGAGGAGCGCGCCCTAATGCGCCCCCGCCGCGGCCGCAACCCCAGAAAGAACCCGGGGCAAGCGAGGGCCTCTCCGTACCTGGAAGTGCTGGAAGAAGGCGGAGATGCGAGTGATCTGCAGGCTCAGGCACCTGGAGGCGCAGCGGGCGCGCTGGACGCTCCCGGCCGACAGCGACTCGTCCAGCCGCCGCGCAGCAGCCGCGCCAGGGCCGGCCGCTAGGCAGCCCCCGGAGGCCACCAGCCAGAGGCAGAGGGTCAGGACCACGCCGGGCGCCCCGGGCACCATGGCTGCGGGTTGGGGGCGAGGGTGCCGGGCGCGGGCGAGTCTCCCAGCTCCGCGTCGGAGCCCAACTGCCGGGGACCAGGCAGCCGCAGCGACTCAGCCGGAAAGTTCAATCCTTCAACTCCAGCCAGACCCTCCCTGCCGACCTCCCTCCCAGCTCGCCCTCGAGGGGTGGGGTGAGGGGAACAGGCGGCCGCACCATTGGCTGAAAGGCGTGTGAGTGACAGGGGGGCCGGGCTCAGAGCCCGTGTGCCGGTCTCTGGGGCTGCAGGCCGGGCGCTTCTGGGGAGGGCGACGCTGAGCGGCTCTCAACGCCGCGCGGGTCTCGGCGGGCAGGGATCCCACGCAGGCGCCTCTCCCGTCCACACCAAACGCTTCCTGCCCCTCCCACCTCCCCCCTCCGTCCAGGTAAACGTTAGGTGTGAGCAGGCCCAGGCCTGTCAGGAGGGCTGCTCCCGTCAGCTGGAGGGAAGAGACCTCAGGACCCCCAGGGGCGTCCCACCTGCCTGGGGATAGACCCGGCTCCCCTAAGTGGCCTGCTTTCTCCCGACCTCCCCTGGGTCCAGGCTTTTCCCACGCTTTCACATACTCCAATTCCCTTTGCCCAGGTAGTGGAAAGAAGGGAAGAAAACTGAAATGGCAGTAAGGCAGACGGGGAGGGGAGCGTGGACATATGCCCTACAGTGTCCTGAAGACATCTTCCTCCTTCTCTCCCCCCTGCATTTCTTCTGTCCTTCCCGCATCCCTCCCTCTTTCCCTCCCGCCCGCACTATTTTCCCTACAAACAGCCTCAGTGTATAGCTAATCACCTTTAGGTCAACACGCCTTGTTTCCTCAGGTGCCTGTTTTCCTAGTAAGCCTTGCAAGCCCAGAATGAGTGATTTCTTCTCAATAGACTAATACACTTGAGTCTTAACCTCTTTCTTTCCCCCACGGTTTGCCCCAAGGCTCTTGACCCAGCCCTTTTAGGTTTGGAATGGCCGCTCTGTCCTCTCCTGTCGTCTTTTCCAGTGTTCTCTCAGCACAGAGTTCTCCCTCCCCAGCCAGGATCCTGCCAGAGAAAGACCGTAGGCATTGATAAGACATTGCCTGTAACAAAGCTTTACACTCCCCTGAGCACCATCAGGAAATGACAGCCTCCTTGCACGTAGGAGATCCCAAAGAAAAAAGACCCAGGCACACTCCTATTCAAATGGAGAACAACTGACGGCTATTCCTGTGCTCTGACACCTCCACTGTCTCCTACCCAATTGCACTTTAACCTTCGGAAACACAGGATCTCCACAAGCACCCAGCTAGGCGCCGTCAGGGTACCTAGATGCACTCGCTGTACTCAAAGCTACCTCAAAAGGCTCGATTCCCTTTTGCACAGAGCCTGTATAGTTGTTTTGCAATTTCCCACCCTTTCCCCTGTTTTTGTACACAGGTTGCACTCTGCAATTTTGAGATCTTCCTGTTAACAAATTACAGTGCCCGGGCGCAGTGGCTAAAGCCTGTAATCCCAGCACTTTGGGAGGCCGAGGCGGGTGGATCACGAGGTCGAGAGATCGAGACCATCCTGGTCAACATGGTGAAACCCCGTCTCTACTAAAAATACAAAAAATTAGCTGGGCGTGGTGGCACGTGCCTGTAATCCCAGCTACTCAGGAGGCTGAGGCAGGAGAATTGCCTGAACCCAGGAGGCGGAGGTTGCGGTGAGCCGAGATCGCGCCATTGCACTCCAGCCTGGGTAACAAGAGCGAAACTCCGTCTCAAAAAAAAAAAAAAAAAAAAAACAAATTACAATGACAGCCATCTGCAGGTATCCTATTATAACTATGAGTGTTTTCAAAGTACATCATCTTACATATGTATTTCTTCACATGGCTTAAATCAGCAAGGGCAGTCGAATTATTTGGCCTTGGTGTGTTTCTCAGCGAATTAGAAAATCAGGATCATCTTGTTCAAAAGTTTCTGTAGGCAAAGCCAGTTTCATGGATATGCAAGCTGTACAATGGTACAGCCCTACTCTCAGAAGGCCTGTTCTGTCATCACCATCCTGAAACTTTATAAATTTTGAACAACCTTCTCTGAATTTTCATTTTGCATGAAGCCTCACAAATTATGTAGCTGACCCTATCTGTGGGACTTAGCCATGACAATCCTTTACTTCAGGGGTCCCCAACTGCCAGGCCTCTGACCGGTACCTGTCAGTGGCCTGTTAGGAACTGAGCCACACAGCAAGAGGTGAGCAGCAGGGCAGGGAGCATTACTGCCTGAGCGCCACCTCAGGTCAGAGCAGTGGTGGCATTAGATGCTGATGGGAACTCAAACCCTATTGTCAACTATGCATGCAAGACATCTAGGTAGCACACTCCTTATGATAATGTAATGTCCATCTGAAGAGGAACAATTTCATCCCCAAGCCATCACCTGCTACCCCCAGGTCCATGGAAAAGTTGTTTTCCATGAAACCAGTCCCTGGTGCCAAAAATGTTGGGGGCCACTGCTTTACTTGGGCTGGAAACCTAGTAACTTTGGCATAAGCTTACATGACTTCAATGATTTGCTTTAAAATTGCTCAGAATTGCAAATGGAAATCTCTTTTGAGTATGTTAAACATACTTAATATTAACAAAGAGTAAAGAAGCTAACCATAGTGACCCCAAGCAGGCATGTGCATAAAGTCATGTGTCAATAAATAATGATGTCTGAATGCAGGGATTGTCTTCTAAATGTTGTCACTTTCATTTGTGAATTAATAAAAATATTACCAAAAGCTACAGGGGATCCTTCCCTAATGTTTGTCCTGAGTTTTAAAGTTAAGCAAATACGTGGTTTTAGTGAAGGCAAATATATATACCTACATTTTCTTAGGTAACTTTGATTTATAATTTTGCATGTCATATCATGAAATGCATATTCTAGAAAATGAAATCACAAAGACAAGCATGCTGAGCTTTTAAAAACAGCCTTTGGATGTTCACAGGGGTCGCCATATCTTTTTAAAAAGCAATGTACTACTTATATGGGTTCCATAGCATATTCATTTCTATGAATAAATGCATTATATAAGAAACCACAAAAGAGAACAAACAGTCAGTTTAACAGAAAGCTTGGACTTAAACATATAGGGCCACCTTATTATGCATATGTTAAAATCATACTTGCGGTTATGTTGCTTTCTTCCTTTAGAGTAATCACAGACATCCTCTTTGATTATGCAGGCCTTTCTCCTATTATTTATTTTAATTGCCCCTTAAAGTAACTTTTAAAAGGCTAGTAAAGTCAGAATAACAGTCAAATTCCAGGTTTTTATTTCGTTCTGCCCATGTATGCCCAACTTATTATGCAGCTTACCTTGCAAGTTGAAAAATGGAAGTTCTCTGACTTTTGACATAACTGGGTAAGCTACACCCTAAGTTCATGAAAGCCAACCACAGGGGAGGAGAATCTTGAGTATGATGAGGAAATGATGGATAAAGGGGTAGGACCCTAGGGTGCAGGTAGTAAGACGGTGCTTAGTATGTCTTTCTCCAAGTCTCCTTGACCCCCATGATCCGAATTTGTCTAGAGAAGAATTGAACCTCACATTGACTTTGGTTTGACTTAAATAGACAAACACACATTTAAATAGAGTAGAAAAGCACCTTAATTATCGCTTATTTATCTCTACATGAACAAAGATAGACCAAAATGTGCGGTTGTCTTGGTCAGGTTGCAGAGGAATCACACAAAGCCCTCATTCACAGTTTTTGAAAGCTTTATCCTCCTTGCATTTTCTTTAGTTATTGGTTTCTTTTCCTTTTTTTTCTCTGTTTTTTTTTTTTTTTTTTTTTTTTTTTCCCCTGCGGAGAATGAGAAGCATCTGAAATCTTTACTAAAGATGACTCCAGGACCCTAAATTCAAAGATTCTGAGTCAATATGTCTGGGGTAGGGGGTTGAAGTGTCAGCTTTTAAATAAAACCCCAGGTGATTCCATACAAATTCAGCCAAGGACTACATTTTGAGGGATAATTATTATTAAAGTACATCTGAGGCCTGGCTCACTGGCTCATGCCTATAATCCCAGCACTTTGGGAGGCCAAGGAAGGAGGATAACTTGAGCTCAGGAGTTTGAGACCACTGGTTTTAGACAACATGGTGAAACCTCATCTCTATGAAAAGTACAAAAACTAACCAGGCAAGGTGGTGGTCCCAGCTACTTAGGAGGCTGAGGTAGGAGGACTGCTTAAGGCCAGGAGGTTGAGGCTGCAGTGAGCCCAGATCATGCCACTGAATTCCAGCCTTGGTAACAGAGCCAGATCCTGTCTCAAAAAACAAACAAAAAGAAAACAGTATACAACCATTAAAACTGGTACAGAAGGTTTGATTTAAATAGCATCTATGATTTAATTTTGTTTAAAGTATCCTTTTTAGATGTGTGTTGATATGGATTGGACATACTAATCTATTTCTGAACAATCAAATGGACATCTTTTTCCAATACATTTAGCCAAGACTCACTTAGACATTGTTTTTTCTTTTTTTTTTTTTTCCAGGCAGTAACTTGATTTTTTAAAGGTCTTCCAGCTACATTGGGTAAGAATGAAGTTTAAAGGTAGTAAGTATAAGCTGTATCTGACATGCCTCTCTTGGAAAAGCAAAATGAGAACTCGCTTAAAACCTGGAGAACAAATACTTAAACATGACAGTATGTAGGAGTCATGAACAGAGCGATGTCATCCCTGGCTTTGGTTTTCAGAAAGAAGTAAAGTGAGGGGAGGAAAGTCACAGATGAGGTCTAGTTTCCTTTCTAATTTCCTCCGTTTGATGATGCAAGACTCTGCATCTTCTCTTAGAGATTGCAGTTCACTTCAGGGAAAGCAACAATGGCAAGATGAAGGAGTGTGCCCTGCAAGCGCACTGACCCTGACCCATACTTCCAAACTCTCACGCAAAGTTCTCAGGCTTTGCTAGCTCAGCTCCGCTCCGCTAAAGCTCTTCTTTAACCGCTTTCCTTCTCCAGACTGACTTCTCTTCTGCACAGCACAGGATATCATTAAGAACTAAATGGATAAATGTCAGATTTGCATCTTTAGCAGTGTGGTTTCAGGCAGGAATGAGGTGTACTTTTATGGTACTGTTCCCATCTGTTCCCCAACCACCAATTTAATGATTTTACAAATAACAATTATTGCT